CACTTACATTGTTGTTGCCATGCTGAATGTTCACTTAAACCAGCTGCTCGCATTTCTAGGACACCCTACATAAGTTCTCTTATCAGATAATTCATCTGACAGAGCTTTCCTGACTATTGTTCCAAGGTCGGTTGAATAAGAGTGATCTCTAACATTATATGATGTTTTTATAAACCTTGCGGTAGAGAGCTGAAAGTGCATAACCAACTTTCTAAATAAGTGATATCGGCTGGTGTTTTATCAATCGAATCATTTTTATGGCTTCTAAAGATTAGGTTGGCATCGGTTCTATAATTTTCGCTAACGTTTCATTCATTCTTCTAACCATTTTATTTAATTGATATAATTGATTCTTCATTCCCCATTGCAATTGCAATTTCTGTCTCCTTTTAATTGTGAAATATTCATCAATTTTCTTTGTTTTTGGAGTTAATTTCTTTGCAAAAATTTCACGTTACGTTATACGAATTGTTATGCATTTTGTCGATCTTTCCAAGCAATTATAAGAAAATACCCTCCCGGATATGGTGTTTTTTTGTACATGTTCTCTTATGTCGCTATAGAAACGCAAATCAGTTCTTTGCCTTTTTTATATATATATTTGGTAAATGTTTAATTTTGCTTTTAATGTCAACCACATGACTAAGATTTATGTTAAATTATGCAAATTTTTCCAACAATTTTCCTATAGATCACCATTGTTCTGGCCAGAAAATATCTGATACATGACGACGCTTATGAAACCTACGAATTTCTTTCCAGACATATTTGCGATATGGGATTTTGCCGCAATCAACGCAAGTTGTTCTTGAAATGGTCGGCACGAAACATTAATTACTTCAAAGCTATATACTTTTAGCTTCTTCCGAGAAAATCAACAATTGGTTCAGACAATAATGCCACAGATTAATCGTAGGAGAGAACAAGGTTCTACAAATCTTGCAAAGAACTTGCGGCAAGTATCCTCTTCAATTCCTCTATATAACAAACTCCTGCGTAATATATGAAGCATGATTGATTTTATCAGAAAAATTTGATAACAAGAAACCAGTAAATACCTAAACAAGTGCATTAGGATATAGTTTGCAGTGTTTAAGATGACTACTGCAATATCAAGTCACGAAGAATGTTTGTTTCCTAGTTTTGCCAAATTTCAAAGAAATTCGACATTTGAGTTCGTTTTATCAAACCATATATGTATCATTTTAATCGATAGCCTTTTGGAATTGTTCTAGTAAAACCATTACACTACTGCAAACGTTCATAGGAGGTGGAAAGATTTTGTGAATATTACAAGCGTCAATTCGTAAACACTTGCTTAATATTACGTTTATTAGAGATGTGTGTGCGGTCTGGTATAGTCATGATGGAATACGAAACCTTCCCTGCGTATCAATTCTTGATAATTTACCTCAACATAAATCGCAATAATTGTAGATAGCAGGAATTGTGGCAGAAATCGTATTGCTATGTTGGAACAACACATTGTGTAATATCTTCTTCCAAATTTACTTGAAAACAACCTTTATACATAAGCTTCATACCAAAAAACGTGCACACCGCAAAAACATTGCAACCAATCTTTCATAACTAAAAACATTCCCATCAAACCTTGCCATCAAAAAATCTTCGCCAAAAACCTTCATACTAGGCCATCATGCCAGATCTTCACAACAAAAGCGCTTGCACGCCAAACTTTCACACCAACCTTCGCACCAGAAAACTTTCACACTACGAAACTTTCACCCCAAAAATCTTCACACCAAACGTTCACATCATACCATCTATGGTATTACTACATCATTTTTAATGCATGCATTGCAATCCATTGAATGTACAATACAATGCTATACATATTTATTAATAAAATATAACCCGGATAATATCAATAATTTAGTTAATTGTGATCAAAAAGTATAAATACTTGAAGGTATATAAGCAGCAGTTCTATTTTAAATTAAAAACCATTCATTCATGAGAACCAGCAAGAAACGGTCAACAGACGACTAGCGAATGAAGCTCATACTAAGCACAAGCAAGAAAATTGTATGCGGTCGTGATCGAATCTTTTATACCCATCAGCGTTATCCTAAAAAGACAACATAAGTAAAAGAACTAAATTTGCATGGAGTGGACGTAGCAGAGTTTTTCCATTTTTAAAATGCAAGCAGACAGATGGAGGGACAAACAGGTGGACATGTTTAGGTGTATTTTGAATTCGAAACTGGCCAAGAATTTGTACGCTTTACAGGGTTCTTGAAGCTTGCTTCTGCGCGTTACAAAAGTTTGAAAAAAAAAATATAAATTTATGGCAGATTTTAAAATTGAACAGGGATAGTTGATTTTCAGCAAATTTGTGTAGGAGAAGCACTACTCGTACATTTATCCGTTGTAATGTATGAGTAATGAGCGAAAAACCAATTTTTTTATTCCCTTTGAAAAAAATAGTTGTCTTCCCTTTACTTAGTATGGTAGGCGTGTCTTTCAACCGATTTGGCCCATTTTCTATACGAATCTGCATGTAAGAACTTTCAATATTTTTGCTAAATTTAAGATCGGCAGTTTTATTTTTGTGGCCAGGAGCATGTTTACAACACACATTACATAGACGGACAAATGGACGCAGGCACAGACGAACATGCTTAAATAGAGTCAGAATTTGATGCTGATCAAGAACATTGATGCTTTATCGGGTTTTTGAAGCTTTGTTCTGGGCGTTGCAAACGTTTTGATAAATTAATATATCCATTATTCTTCGGTTCAGATTTTTAGAAACCTAAAACCTAAACTCATATTAATAAACTATTTAAAGCCATCATATAACGTCGACCTATACCACAACCTACATCAGCATGAAAACAAGAAAAGGGAGATAGATTCTCTACAAGAAAAGAAGTGAAATCCGTCGTCAAAGTGTAATTAAATAAACGCAGCACAAATTGAATTCGCGCCAAACGGAACCTTTAACCTACGTTTACTTTAAAATCAATGACGTCATTTTCAATGGCCACTAATACTTAACATGCTTACGTACATAATGTTTTGACTATGCTCGCGTGCGTGTCTATAGAGACAAAATTTGGTTTTTGTTCATACAATCTAATCTCACCGTTATTACAATTTCCATTACAAGCACTTGATGCCTACATAAACAACAAGCATATACATCTATTCATAGAGGCATACGCTGCTTAAATTGCATTGAATACATTGAATGCATAAAGCAAGAATCGACTTTGCCTTTGAAATTTCTCACCTAATATCTGTGATTAATTTCCTCACATATATACATATGTATATATTATTATTATTATTATTATTATAAATTTAGCCAGAGAACAAATTCTAAGACTAAAGTCTTAAAGCACTAGCATCTAGGGCTATCGGCTTTTTTTTATTAAAAAATTCTACCGCACTTGAGGTTTGAAACCACGACTATTGAGTTACTAGTCGAGACTCTTACCTACTCGGCCACTCAGACGGAAACATATGTATATAACGTAACTATTTTGTATATTATCCAAGTATTTCATAAAGTAAATGAAGAGCTATATGCTTTTCCTCTAAGCTGCTGGACGCCATTAACCGATCCGTTTAAATCAGCCTTCTTTGAACGTATCATAGTTAGATTTCCGAATGATCCGATTTATCCTTTAAAATTTTTTATATTATTTTCGCAAATTTACAAAATGCTTGAATCCTACCGATTTCCTCTCACATACCTGCAATTTACCTTTAACGTACACCAACGCTAGCCTGCAAGAGTTATGCTAGAGGTGTCTGCAATTTCTGTGGGCATATACTGTACTCGGAATGGTCTTGTTTTGAATTGAACGTTCCGACCCATTTATTCGTCTGTCTCGTTAATGTCTGCTCTTCGTTCATCCTGGTTTATGTACGTCTTTCTATTCATAAGTTTTGGGAACATTTTCAACTCTAGCGATAATATGTTGCTTGATATGAGTTCACGGTCACCTCCCATATAAAATCTTGTTTTAAGGCGCCTCCTTTTTCTTTATGATAGAATAGCTTATATTTAATACTTTTTGACGACAAATCGGTGAAAAATATAAAGCTGTTCAGAGGGTCAATTCGTTTTTTCCCAAGAGTGAATTTAATTGTACGTTTTGATAAGATTTTTTCGATTATGCGGAATAACTTTTGCTTGGTGAATTTTCAGCTGTTGAAAGTCAAAAGCAGCAAAAGCCAGCTTAGTTTTGTTCTTTACTATCGATAAAGTAAAAATGGTATTTAAGCAAGAAAAGTATTGCTAAATACTGTATACCGTCTGAAGAAGATGTATTGACAGGCGACTAGTCCCAACACTGCTTTACGAAATTTCGTTTTGATAATTTTGACAATCAAGGTATAGCAAGTTCTTCAGGTCCAGTGAAAGCTAATGAAGACAAAATAAAGCGCTTAACTTATGCAAAGCAACGAATAAACATTGATAAGATCGCTGAGGGATTACATATATCGAATTCGACCGTAAAGATCTTCGATGCGATGGGACCATTTTTTGAACATCTCCCATATATGGTGGAAGTTCTTGTAAAATAAAAATCCATGTAGGCCTAATTTTGTAGCACTTTATAATGGAAATTTGTCTAAGATAGCGAGTTGAAATCGTTACGGTATGTGTGAACATCAGAGTTCTCTTTTTCGCAACCCTTCCAAGACAAGTGATCTAATTAAAAGTAAGTCTCCCAATGGCAAGAAAGTGCGGTTTTTCATTTTGTGAAGGTAGACGAATTGCGTCAGTCAGAGTAATGTAGGTCAACCTGGCCTGGCTATAATGTCTTAACTTATACTATTAAAGTTATAAGAATCTATCATTTTACAAAATCTAATAATATATTATTAAAGTTTTGCTTTAAACTTTCAGCAACATCAGCCCCTCAATGTATGAAGGAACAACAACTTTGATGTCTGTAGTTTTACATAAAATAAAAGTAAAAATTTCAATGCAAATCCATTCTTCTTTTATTACTATTATACAATTAATCGAGCTCCAATTTTCTGAAGGAACCTTCACTACCGAACGTATCATCATAATGTTTAGCTTTGTCGAATCGCAATTTCTCATCAGTGCCCCATTGAATGCTTTTGCCAAAATAATCGCGATATTTATCTAACTTCTTATCCCATTCAGCTATGATTTCTTTAATGGTACCACTTTCGCCTCCATAATCGTTTGGCAGATATTTCAACGGGACATGTTGGATCAATGAATCGAGGGAATTGTGATTAAGAAACTGAGTAAAATATATCAATAATAAATAATAAACTTTGAGTAATTATTTGTTCCACTTACTCTATCTTGCTGTTTAAGTGGCAACATTGGTTTAGCGGTGTTGTAAACAATGTCAAATATTTTCGGCGCATTTAAGAAATGGATAGATTTCAGACGCAAGGGTATTGATTCATAATTATAAGTAATCCATTTTTTCAAATATGTTGGAGTCGCTTGGAGAATATGCGATAAAGGGATTCCTTTTTGATCGGCGATCATTACCAAACCGTTAACAACAGCATTATCATCCTCTAACATCAAAATATCTTGGAGAACATGATTGACAGCCAATACTTCTTCCAGACTAAATATTTCAGCTGAAGCAAGGCGCAGCAAAACTATACGCGGACCATTATTATGTAGGGGAATCGGTAAATATAGAAACGCACTGCAAGAGAGAGCTATTACCAAGTTTAACACTAGACTTAGTTACCTACACATACCCCGAACGAAATATTTCCCGCAATCTTGCACTACTCACGTTAGTTATATTACAGAACTCGGGAAATTTAGTTTTGAAACTATAATAGGAATCAATCTTTTTTTTAGCCTTCTCTAAGCTATATTTACAGCCTCGCAAGAAACAAATTAAAAATTGATCATCCGTGTTAGCACATAAATGTGGTTGTTCTTCGATCCATGTTTTCAAAGTTTTCAAATCTTCGTGTATACGTGCGGGCACTTCATTCAATTCTTCCCGTGCTTTTCTTTGCAAATCTTCATTTAATAATCGAATTTGTAACATGTTTAGCACGAAATCAACAAGAACTCTTCGATGAATTTAAAACAAAAAAAAAAAACCAGTTGACTAAAGCAATCCCAGTCAAGAACCTAAAGTTTAATTTATGCGACAATAAGCATAACTGTTACTTCTACTAGAATTTACTGAGACGTTCTAATTATTTTTCAGGCTTTAATTCGCTATAAGAAGTAATAACAACAGATATATGTTCCTCTTGCCTACGAAGCCAAAAATAACTGATTTTGAGACTCTGTCGAAACGTGCACCTGAGTGTACCATAACAACTTTCACTACACGTATTCGCCATTAAGCTTAATATAGCCTAATATGTTGAAGTTGTTGTTAATTTACCAACCGATCTTTGAACTTCGGTTTTATGACCAAAGCAACTTAATTTTATTTTATTAGTCTTCACATTAAGATGATAGATAAATTTAAATGATTGCCATTAAAGCACTTGAATGCATGTAAAATTTTATAACACAATGATCGCTATTCCGTAGTCAATCAGTCAATCAGTCAATCAGTCAGACTAAGTGATTGATCAGATGCAATGCGGTATTGACGAAAAAATCAGTCAAAGCATTTCTAATTTCTATTTAATTGCCATATATTGCTTAGGCCCCTATGAAGTTTTTCAATGCCCCTTTGGAAAAAGCCATTCAAGAAGCCTTTTCAAGCAGTGATTTGAAGAGAGACAAATTTTTTCTTCTGTCAATAGCCACTTTCCTCAGGATCTTTTTCACGAGTCGCTCACTCAAGAGCAGTGTAATTTTTTTTTGTTTCATCAGTTTACCTTTTTATATGCCACTCAAATCACTTTTGCTTTCAGCAAAACTGATGCCGTAATGTTTCTATACCAAGCAATTTTAAAGTTACACCTAATCTTGGCTTCGTTAATGAAGTTGTATAAGGCAAGTAAATTAGAGGGAGAGAGAGTTCAGTTGATCGTAAGCACTCTTATAGTGCCGTTCGTGAGACGTAGTTTTTACTGAGACGAATATTAAAACTCTGTCAATTTATTTGTAAACACATACATTCCAGTGCTATGTATTCATCGTTTTCTTTCAGTTGGAAGACCACCTCCTAGCCCCACAAACACTGTATGTTACAAGACTGAACTAGAAATAATTGTTCGGATTTATGCATGAATTTGCTTAAATTTCTGTTTCACTCTTATAATACGTAATGTTTTCATCATCAAATCGACGAAAAAAATCTAACTTGGACCCTGTAAACGGTTCAGGCGTTTTTCGGAAACTTTAATACTTAAGACATAGCTTAAGATCCTAGGTAAAATATGCTGAAATGTTTGACCCTCTAATGTTTATTTGTTTTCAGTAGCCCTTGCTGTCCAACACATATCAGTAATTTTTTCAGTCATAGCATTTTGAACGTTTACTTTCAACAATAATCTGAACAAAATCATTAAAAATGCTATCATGACACTTCCCGCAAGTGCTTTTGTGGAAGCCCTACCAATTTAACAATAACAAGTAGTTATGTTTAGTTGTTCGATTTATGTGGCAGGCTGTATACGCAGTAATTGTCATAGCGCTTTTTACCACATTCCGTTTAAGTTTAGTACATCTCTCCAATCTTTAGTGCCTCATCGTAAAGGCAATTAATGAGAAATCAACAAAACAATAACAAAACTTTAATATTTGATAGTCAATATTCCGTAGCTCCATATATATGTGCATGTGAACTGTGACTACTACAACCAGCTTAAAAAGACAAAAAGTTTAAAATTTTAAAAAGTAAATTCATTTAAAAATATTCGATTTCATAAAGACATTTATGTTTTGTGTTCACTTCTTATACTACAGCAATAATAAAAAGGATATCTTATCAAATGTCGTAAATTATTGTCAAAAAGTAAATTTCTAAGGTCATAAGAAAAGTTATTTTATAGAAATTTCAAGCAAAAGACTAATTGAGAAGAACATAAACTTCTTACCTGCAAAAGAGATCAAAAAAAGATGTAGAAATAATTTTGATTGCTTTCAGTTGACACCATTGAGGATAGCAGAGCTAAAGCATGAAATAAAATTATTTCAACAAATTAGTTTACTCGAAGCTTTTAAGACAAAGAGAATGATAAATAACTGAAACGAATAAAACGAAACATAAGACAATGAAAGATTACTTACTCTTGTAAAAAACAAAGTTATATTAGGTTTGAGGAGAAACTTTGACACCAACCTCCCCATACCGATGCAAAGAGAAAACTTTGTTTTAACAACAGATAGCAAACGGACAGATAGATTGGCGAGGAGAACTGACTAAACCGACTCGGAACTTGCTTAATAATGCAGACATACGCTATTGTTAGGAATCACGAGGTAAGTTGTTAGACTACAACTTTTCGGCATTTTTTTTTTTTTTTTTCGACATAGGATGTACTTATGAAGTGCTTGGGTAAAAGCCAGAAATTTCAAGCAAACAATTGGTAGTACTCTATACTGACGTAACAGTGTTGATCGATTTTTCTAAATTTTTGAACCCAAATTGGTTCGTATTGAAAACAGGCCGAGGCGATCAAACAACTCGCTTAAGGTACAAAAAAGGTGAGAACAACTCTGCTTTTGAAAGGAAAAAACAATTGGGATTTTGCTCATAACTCATAAACCACAACTGACGCAGCCGTGATAATTTCCAAGTACCTTCTTTTGGTCATTATGCAGTACCCACACAAAAGTGGCAAAATCCGCCATGCCCTCCGAATAGGCTAAACTAAGAGAATTTCATCTTTTTATTTTTATACCCTGTTAAAGATGAGGGGTTTAAAAATTTCGGCCAGAGCCTCAGGATATAATTTATTTGGGTTTTTTTTTATACCCACCACTGTAAGATGGAGTTATACTCCTTTTGGTTTTTCCCATAATGTATGTGGCATCCAAAGGCAAGCTTTAGAGACCCTACACCACGCTTGATCAGCGTGAAATTCTGAGTTGATTTAGCCACGTCTGTCCTTCTGTGCGGTGTTCGCACTTTCTTGGTCGCAAAAATAAAGATATCGACTTAAAATTTGGTAAAAGCATTGGAAATTTCTGCACGCAGGTGGGTATTGAAAATTGGCCGAATTGGTCAGAGCAGACGCCCGCAGAGGAGCATAAACTGAACGCAACTCAGTTTTTCTTAACAAAAATTTGAAAGCTTTTGCCTGTTTCTTGAAAATTATCACAGTTAGAAGACTAAAACTTTCCACGTTTACCTTGCGAGACACTTTACTCTCTAGGTCCAGAAAAGAAATCGACCTTGTTTACACAAAGTTGCGAGTAATTAAATTTAATTTTTTTTCATTTTTTTGTGGATTTAGGCTTATTTGTTACAAGGCAAACAAGACAAAACGTTTAAAACTATTTTGTACACTCCTGAAACGAAGATTTATTGTCTGCCCAAAAATGCGCTAATACCAAAATGAATACGAAAGACGACGCGATTACGGTTTTTTTAGTAATATCCGCGATGTGGCTATCAAATAAAAGAGCTTGGAGAGTAGAACGCGAAAAGCATAGTGGCGGGTATGCGAGATTCGTCCTTGACGAATATAACTTTCTTACATGTTAATCTTCTATATGGTAAAAGTACAAGCCCTACAAATTATACGATGGGATAATCGTAATTTTTAATGACTTTTCTTATTTTAGAATAAAAGAGTACTGATTTTCATCATTTACTCCAAATGGCCTTGAACATGTTCTCCAAATGGCCTTGAGCGTCTTCATCTTTTGCTTTTTAATATTATATATTCCAAGTTTGTTGAATTCAAGCGAACCGGCTATTCTTCATTTCGTGGCAGGAGTCACTGTCAAGATAGTCCATTAATATTATAAATTGGTTGAAAAAACAAGCTTTAAAAATATTCAGCCTATAACTGAAAGTTCGTAAAGCCGTTAATATGAAAAAATTATTCTGATCCAATTTAAAGAATCTAATCTCCAATCAATGACGCTAGTAACATGAAGTAATATATCATACCACGAAAAGCTTGCATTTACTCACTGTTAACTTCTTTTGTTTTACTTTTCAAGTTTTTATATAGCGCGGATACAAACAACTGAAGTATTGTGTGCAGCCTTATTGTTGAACTGCTTTACTTTACTTTATCAAGCATCATTAATTACACTTTCATAAGACTTACTTTGGTCATTTTCTTGGTTTTCTTTTGTCGCCGTCTACATAGGAAGTTCTTTATTTTACACATGCACCGAACAGAATGAAGTGATAAAACGTTACTGATGGTACATTGTCCTCATTATTTTAATGGGAAAATTTTTCCTAAACAAAAAAAAAATTTCTGAAAGTTTCGCAATAAATTTGGATGAAAGCAAACGAGAAAACTCAGGTAAATCAAAAATTGACTAATGTTGCAGAAATATATAGTAAAAGTTCCAAAACAAGCACATAAGTAAAGAAGTGATGGGCAAGGAAATTATTAATTTTATCGCAGCGTATAGCAGTTCGTTTTTTATAAAAATTGCGATTAAAGTATTTCGTTCTAGAGCTGCTTTCGACAAAAATGAAGTTGAAACTTGCATAAATTTGGCATCCCATTAACCGTTAATGTGGTAGGTAGTTGAAATAAGTTTTCACACGTAGCTAGACAGGTGATTAGGGTAAGAGGTATATTCAGTTATGTCTATTTTGCAAAATAATTTTCAAAGCAAGCGGTTGTGTTACAGTAGTGAGACTTCATTTTTAAGATAAACTATATTTTACTTTTCTATTTCAAAAAATTTAAAAGTGATGCCGAAGAAAATAGAGAAGTGTAACAGAGCGCACTTGTCAAGATTGATTTGCGAAATTTCGTTCTGGAAATTTGTGAGTGAAAATTTTACCGCGTTCCGATAGGCGACCAAGTAAAAGTTATGATTGAAGCTGAAGGATACATAAAGGTTCGTGAGATATCGGAAAAATCGACTTTGTCCAAAACAGCTGTGATCGCATAAAAGCTTGAGATTTGTAAAAAATCTAGATTTGACACACGCGCTAATATC